ACCCTCAAGCTCCCAGGCCTCTGGTAGAGGACCCGAGCTTGAAGGATAAACCGCCCGCAGGGGCGTGCTGGGTGTTTTTTGTATATGTATATATATATATGTAAGTATTTCTCAGGTGCATTGAATAGATAGAATAAACTGTAGAAAACTAAACAGCAGAAAGAAGAAGAGAAATAACAATTTTAACATAAACCAGTGGCACACTCAAGGGCCTGATCAACCCTGGCAGGGCCTCCTTGGATGAGCGTGTCTAGTGATAATGGCCGAAACGCCGATGAATCCAAGGTCCTCTACTGACGATGTGTCCCAAATTTTAATATGATAATTTAGATCAGATATTTAATCCCTAAACCTAACCAAGGAAAAATGGCAGATTAGACTGGGTAAAAAAACGAAAGTTATACATTTAGCCGACCTCAGACTTTCCAGTTTACAATGTGGACTTTGTAATGCAGCAAACAGAAGTTTCATACCGGAATCCTGAAGGTTGTTGTTACTCAGGTCAAGCTCTCTCAGCCTAGAGGACTGACACCTGAGAACTGAGGACAGAGCTTCATAACTTCTCTTTGAGAGGAAACAGCCATTAAGTCTGAAAAAAGAAAATCACCTACATTTATCACCATGTCCTAGACGTTTGGGAGAATGGAATGGATTTTTATTAGATATTTCATAGGGCCGCACAATCACAATAGATAGATAAGCAGCAGTTCAGTGTTACTGCTATGAAGCATTAAAAACATCTTGTATTTGACTGTAAATACTATCTAAAATACGTTAAAATTTCAAGGGATAGTGCTTTTAGTTTCTTCTTTTTTTTCCCTTTAAAATCCACAGGACAGTTTTTTTTTAACTAGAATAGATATTTAAAAACTAAAAGTATAGTCACATGTTTACTTACAGAGCTTTTTTGGAGGCTTTGATCACTGGCAGCAGCCTCAGAAGAGCCTCCTCTGAAGCAGAGTATTTCTTCAGGTCAAACACATCCAGATCTTTTTCTGATGACAGTAAGATGAAGACCAGAGCTGACCACTGAGCAGGAGACAGTTTATCTGTAGAGAGACTTCTTGATCTCAGAGACTGTTGGATCTCCTCCACTAGAGAACAATCATTCAGTTCATTCAGACAGTGGAACAGATTGATGCTTCTCTCTGCAGACATATCCTCACTGAGCTTTTTTTTAATGTACTGGACTGTTTCCTGATTGGTCTGTGAGCTACTTCCTGTCTGAAGCCTCGCAGGAGAGTCTTACTGGCCTGCAGTGAAAGACCCAGGAGGAAGCGGAGGAACAAATCCAGGTGTCCATTTGGACTCTGTAAGGCCTTGTTCACAGCACTTTGGTGGAGAGATTGAAGTTTTGGTTTGTCAAATAATTTAGAGAATTTGAGGGTTGTTTGTTGTTCTTCCAGCAGATTGAGTCCAGACATGATGAAGGTCCGATGGACATGAAGAGCAGCCAGAAACTCTTGAACACTCAGATGGATGAAGCAGAACACCCTGTCCTGGTACAGTCCTCTCTCCTCTTTAAAGATCTGTGTGGACACTCCTGAGTACACTGAGGCTGCTCTGATATCGATGCCACACTCTGTCAGGTCTGATTCATAGAAGATCAGGTTTCCTTTCTGCAGCTGATCAAAAGCCAGTTTTCCTAGATACTTAATCATCTTCCTGTTCTTGGGACTCCAGTGTGGATCTGTGTTAGCTCCTCCATCATACTTGACCATCTTCATTTTGACCTGAACCACCAGGAAGTGGGTATACATCTCAGTCAGGGTCTTGGGCAGCTGTCCTCCCTCTCTGGTTTTCAGCACATCCTCCAGAACTGTAGCAGTGATCCAGCAGAAGACTGGGATGTGGCACATGATGTGGAGGCTTCCTGATGTCTTTATGTGGGAGATGATCCTGCTGGCCTGCTCCTCATCTCTGAATCTCTTCCTTAAGTACTCCTCCTTCTGTGGGTCAGTGAACCCTCTGACCTCTGTCACCATGTCAACACAATCAGGAGGGATCTGATTGGCTGCTGCTGGTCGTGTGGTTATCCAGAGGTGAGCAGAAGGAAGCAGTTTCCCCCTGATGAGGTTTATCAGCAACTCATCCACTGAGGTGGACTTTCTAGGATCAGTTAGGATTGTTGTTTTGTGGAAGTCCAGAGGAAGACGACACTCATCCAGACCATCAAAGATGAACACAACCTGGAAGTCTTCAAAGCTGCAGATTCCTGCTTCTTTGGTTTCAGTAAAGAAGTGATGAACAAGTCCCACCAAGCTGAACTTCTCCTCTTTCAGCACATTCAGCTCTCTGAACACAATATTCCAGAAACACGCTTTGCCGATCCGATCATAGCACTTCCTACATTGGAATAGACATCAGTGTGAACTAAAGGGCTTTGGAGAGTGATGTAACGAGAGGGGGCGTGGCTAGGATTTTTGGTTGAGGTGCCATCTTTCTGGGCCAAACAAAGTTCAAGCGAAAGAGGAGCGAAAGCACACACATCAGCCATAGTTCGCACTTGCTGTGTGGTCGGCTGTAATGTTCGATCGCACGACCGGCAAGGGAATAAGCTTGAGAATGGTATATCTTTTTATGCTTTCCCAACCCGGAAGCAACATGAGGGAGCTCATGTATCGGATGTTACCAAGAGAAGACGTCTAGCCTGGATAGCTGCTGTGAGACGAGCTGATATCCAGTTGTCTTGTATCTCCAAATATCTGTTGGTGCTCAAGACATTTTCATTCCGGTAAGTTCTAAATATGTTCATATCACTATTTATAGCTTATTAGTTTTATTTTCGATGCACTCTGAGGTCATAGCAAATTACAACAAACATCCTACTGAGTGATTTTGCAGAATTACTCTCTATTTATAGAGTTGCTAATTATTTGGCATTATTGCAGCAAACCAGCCTATGAAATGGATGAAACACATCGTGACTGAGTTCCAGCGCTACACAAGAGACCTGCTTCAAACATACCACCATGCCAATCAGATTACTTCTTCCATGTGAGGGTGAAGAGGTGACCCTTCTGGATAAGATGGTGAACAGTATGGTAGTAAAACCAGGGAAAATGAAACTGTAACTGATATGATGATCTATAAAGTGGTTTAAATTTTTTTTTAAAAAGGCAAAAATTAGTTTGTTTCTTTAGTCAACTTTTGAACAGTGGTACTCAGTCAGTACATATTCAGTAAATGTAAATTATTTACATGGCAGTGCACTTCAGGCATAAGTCTAGACAGTAGATAAAACATTATGCGTCATTCCCACAACCCACAGCTTTACTGTGTTCCAGCAAAGTATCCAATAGCGGTGACAACTCCTCCACAGTAGCAGGTGGGATTTTTCTTTTTTGAGGACGGCTCCTTTTACCTGTCACTACGGATGGTCTGTTTATGTTTTGATCAAGAGCCTTTTTTTGGGCAGGTGAAGAGGAGAAGTCCATCTTAGGGCCAACCTCTGGCTGCATCTTGGTCATATTCCCCAGCAAAACCCAGTATGCAGGTTCATCTGTAACAGTCCTTGTGCCACAGATCAACACTGTTGGTTCTACATTAAACAGAAGAGCAGCGACAGGGGTGCAGGTCTCCATGACTCCAGCCATACAGGTGTAGTGGGCGGCCCACTACACCTACCCAATCTTTGGTGAATTGGATGTGTCCCTCCAGAAATTTCTAATTGCGAAACTGGTTCCCCTTGTACGCGCTGACTCCACAGACAAGGTACGATAATATATCAGGCTACGTCAATAGCAGTAGGTCTTCAGGGTTTCTACTCCACGGGTCCACATTTCCAATGTACGGTATTTTATGCAAGTACTGCCTCTTTGCATCCAGATGCAATCTGTCTCTGTACCGTCCTTTTTCTTTTAAACTGCTTTAAGAATGTTTCTAGCAATCTTCCTTCCAAGATAGTGTGTTTGTTTTGATTAGTGGCCCAGGAAGATGGCGCCGCGCTCCCACAATGCATTGCGGCGTGACGTCAACTCCAAAGCCCTATCGTATGTCTGACATTATGTGCCCGGAACCGGAAGTGACATAATTTTCGCGGAAAATGTAGCTTTTACCTTCGTGGCCTTATAAGCCTACACTTGTGTTTTTAAAAGTCATGTTTGACTTTATGCCTTTTAAATTAGAATAGACAGCTAAAGCTAGAAAACTAGAAGCAAGGGATGAACAGAATGTGGGAAAACAGCCAACTGGACAACAAGAAAAGGGAGACTGAGGACTTAAACCCACACATAGGAAAACTAGGGGATGGGAAACAGGAAGAGACTATCAAAATAAAACAGGAATTACACCAATTATGGAGAAAGACTTACACACCAGGCTTTCCACAGGGACTGAGAGGGGAAAAAACAGACATGAGAAGAAGACTTTCTGGTAAGACAGAAAGGGAAAACCAAATGTGAAGAAAATGCTGACTAAACCCAAGAGAAGAATAGATCCCTAGGGAGGAAAATGCTAAGATAACCAAGAGCAGAACTAACTAACTAACAACTAACCATAGCACACTTTATACATAAGGTAAACACAACCATGAAACTAGTGGTATAGGATATTCCAATAACCCAGCAACCCAGTAAAGTCCAGAAACATAGACATAGACAAAGTACCATGACACAGAAGGTTAAATCTTTAGATAAATCCTCTTACTGCTCTGCAGACGGTCAGCTAACTCATCCTGCTTCATTCTTTTTAGAAAGTCCACTGTGATCTTCATAAATGCCTCTCTGCTGCTGCTCCTCTGACTCTCTAAGCATTCTGGGTAATCTGGACTCAGAACCTTCTGGATCTTCTTCAGCTCGTTCCTCACAAAAGTGATGATGTTGTCCTCCAGCAGCTGGAACAGAATATTTATGAATGAGCCAATCAGACTGAAATCATGGAGTCAAACATCAGATCCATGTTGGACACACTGACCATCCACTGGTCTACAAAGAGCAGCATGGAGATGACTGTGAACAGAATAGATGTAAAAGTAGTTGTTGTACTTGTACAGACCATAAATATGGAGTCCAGATGTGTTTGATGCTCCTGGGCAGACTGACCACTGGGAACCTCTGAGCTCTCCTGGTCCACTCTGTGGCATAATCAAGGAGAATTACCGAATTTCCCAGAGGAACACACCCGAGGGATTAATAAAGTTTTATCTAATCTAATCTAATTAGTTCAAGGACAGAGCACAGATGAGTAAGTTTTCTTCTCTGTGTTAGTTCTCAGAAAATGCAATCCCAATCAAGTTTGTAAAGCTTTAAATGGTATCTCAGATATATTAGGCCAGGGGTGGGGAACTCTGGTGTTCTGCAGGTTTTAGATATCACCCTGGGTCAACAGACCAAATGATTAGTTCATTACCAGGCCTCTGGAAAATTTCAGGACATGTTGAGGAGGTAATGTAGCCATTTGAATAACCTTTGTTGGATGAAAGACACATCTAAAGCCGGGAGGACACCGGAAGTTCCCTACCCCTGTATTAGGCAATTTCATTTATTTTTCCAGATGCATTCTCGCACCTACCCAGTCACACCAATCTGATATTGCACCATTTTGAGATATGATTCCTAAACAATAGCTTAAAAATGTGAAAAAATATAAAACAGGCTTATGTTGCTGCCACTTAGTTCAGCTCACAGATCTGGTTGCTGAACTGCACTCACTGTAGGTTCAGGCTTCAGCCTCCATTATAATAGTTGCCGACAAGTGAACATTTATTTCTGCATGTGCAGTTTTCCATTTACCTCACTCCAGTTGAGTACCCTAATATTTGTCATAGTGTTTTCTTACTAAAGATCATCAAAGGCATCTCAGATATCTTCTAAGTTGTATTTTTGTTATACAGAATTCCTCTTTTGAGGGGACCAAATGAGACATTTTCAGTGTACTACGCACTGCATTAGTTCACATTAGAATAAAATACTTCAATGCAGAGTGTGTTTTTGATGTCTTTATTTTGTGCATTAAACATGGGGATGTTTTCTGTTGTTGGCAGGTGGTGGAACAGCCCTATTCTGAAAATTTTGTCACTTGTTGTCACTGATCACTTCCTGTTTGCTGAAGTGGATTCTAGTCATTTAGAAACCTAAGCCTTGTTATTAAGAGACAATTTAAATGTGATTGAGGTAATGACATGTTTGCATTGCAGCAACAACAACACCAAGCAGTTAAATCAACTCTCAAAGAGTTCATGTTCCTAACAACTCACCTCTCCACAGCAGACGCCTGATGAACTTTAAAATCAATGGGCCGGTCTTCAGACCAGTCACTCTGTAAGGACAAAGAGCTGGGTGGAGGTGCAGGTTGGTTCCTGTGAATAATGATGGAGCAGTGATGTGAGTGCTGAGCTGTGACATGGAGAAGAGTCATGGACAGTTAGAAATGGTCATCTCACCTCTGAGCTTTGGTCTGGCTCTCATGTTCCCCACACAGAGTGGTTTTAGAGCGAGGGACTCCCTCCTCTCTTTCCTCACACTGATCCATGCTGCTGAATTCACATCAGCTCACACACACTTTCTACCTTCACCTGCAGAGGAAACACAAATCATTCACGTGCACATTGTTAATCTATTGAACCTGCATCCCAATATTGTTGTTGTCCCAATGTCTCCCCGTCTTGTCTCCTGTTCGCTGCTCTATTGTTGTCTCTTTCTCTCTTGACCCTCATCTGCCGTGGAAGAATTCTTTGCGGGTTCCCGCCTCTGGCCAACACAACTGCAATCAATCTGTTGTGCATCATCCTGACTCACCAGTGACTATTTAAGATGGCTGTTCAGTGTTTCTCATCGCTGGATCATTGTACGACACTCGTCTTTGCAATGCCAGCTCTCTCTAGTTAATTCCTTGTCTCTTGTGATTTTCCTGGCTACTAACCATGTTCTCCATGTCAATAGAACCTGCCTTTTCCCCTGGAGTGTGTTCGTGAGTGTTTTCTCGAGTGGCGAGAGGACGTTTTCTGTGTGTGACCGAACAAGAGTGTGGTTTTCCCTTCCTGCCCCAGGTTTCCTTATAGCTGTTGTCTTCCCTTGCACATTTTTATATAGCACTTGGTTTTTTGGTAAATAAACTGTTCAATCTCTTTTTAAATGGAGTCCTGCTCTTGAGTCCGCTCAGTGACTGTGACAAATACAGGAAGTCTAAATTAGCTTTGTGTTTAAAAAGTCCAGTATCTAATCCTCTGAGTGTAGGTGTTTTAGAGCTTGGATGGAGCTGATGAA